TGTAATATTTGTGGTAAATATTCTCCCTTTAGCAAAAATGAATATATCGCCTACAAATTTCCAAAATAATTTTGGAGGGGTCTAAACTTTTCACAGGACACGCGCACAACGCCCGCATGCCATATACGAGAAAAAATTTAATTTTGAAAATAGAAAAAAATCGGCTGGGCGCAGCTCCATATTATGGAACATGAAAATATAGTTCATTTCCTGTTTTTGTTCGATTTTTGGGGTAACGGTGGTGGATACAAGAGATTCGGTTCGAATCCAATATTATTTTCTTATTTGTTTTTACTTTGGGTTCTTAATCAATGAGGGAACATTAATGCCAGATTTTACCTTCCTATCTCCTTTTTTGAGATTAGGGCAAACTCACAAAGAAGGAGGATGAAAATGACGCATTTTGGTAGAAGTAATTGTACGGAAAACGTCGATAGCTCTAGCGTGAAAATCCTCAAATGAGAATAAAACAACAATTGATATCAGAAAAATTCAATTTTTTCAAAGAAGAGCGTCGCGTTAAAACCTCTGAAGGGAGGAGGCCATGAAACCCATCATTACGGAAGATGAATTAGAAACAACCATTCAATCAAGCGAATATTGTGCAAAGGTGTGCCAAAACAGAAAAAAAAGTCTCTCGAAAATCAAGGCGATCTTAACAGCTTCCTTCGATTATTTGGGTACTGTACTGTATGAATTCCCTCCGCCGCGGTCAAAGTGTTAACAAAGAATATTGTTTGAGTGTTATGCGCTGTTTACACCAAGCTATTCGCCAAAGGAGGCCGGAGTTATGAAAAGATAACGCTGCGCCAGCTCACATCGCTTTGGTTCTGCGAGGCCATTTCGTTAAAAATGCAACCCACATCGTTCCGCAACCATCGTATTCACGTGATTTAACCCCATGTGACTTCTGGTTATTTCCTAAACTCAAAAGACCACTGCGTGGACAGCATTTTGATGAAATTGAAGAGATATCACCTGAATCGCAGAGAGCTTTAAAGCTCTCTTTTTAAAATCCATTCTTTTCAAAGACTAATAAAAACCTTGGCATAAGCTGCATATGTATTTAATAATAAATAAATAAACAAATTGTAAAGTTTTATTGTCAATGGAGAATAAGGCTAATGTAAACTTGAGATTGGCCCCTTTGCTCGTTACTGTAAAATATTAGGTGCTTGCATGTGTTTTGATCGTATTTCAATATATATTAAACAAAATATTTTCCATCATTTTTTCCAGCTTTTTTCCATCGATATTGGTTTGGCAGCGATCGAATTATCGACCTATTTTCGCACTTCTTCAGCCATTCAAAACCCCGTGCCAACCAAGGCTTTCTGCATCGATCTGAATCGATGGAAATCAGAAGGCGTTACGCCTGGTGAGTAGGTTTGGTGCCGCACAATTTCACATTCGAGCTATTGTATCCTAGATAACCCTTTCAGCGGCCGAGCAGCATTATGCAAGAAGGTGACTTTGCGTTTGTTAACCGCTATTGCTGGGCTTATCTGCAATAAGACCTCGTTCAATATGTCCAATTGACGTCGATAGGCATATGCAGTAATAGATTCATTCGGCTTCAGCAAGTCGTAAGACACTACACCTTGTTGATCCCACCATATCCACAGCAAGACTTAACTCATCGCTAGTCACAATACGCCTCAGAAAAGTCTTTTCTTTTTGCTTAGCAAGCAATGCAACTGGGATGTTGAAACGGTTCGAAATGGCAGCCATTTTCCCTCCTTTTGGACCTTTCTCAACGCATAGGAATGTCTAGAAACAATTTGTTCTTCGACTGCTGAGCTGTTGGAAAGCTTTTGGAGAGCTCGAGCTGGCTTTTCGCCCAATACATTTTGAATTCATTATTCTCGAAGTTTTTAGGTTCTCCAAGGCGCTCTTCGTCGTTCATCGCAGTCTTTTAAACCGTTGAAACAAAAACCAACAATAGAGATATGAGGGAGCTGCATAAACATCCGTAAACATCTAAAAGTGTTTAATGGGCTTCGGCGGCAGATTTCTTCACAACGAACAACTAAAGTAATGAATGCCGAAAATGCAACTCTGTGCCTTCCATGATTATCGTCTAAATAAATCAGGAATACATAATGGAAAACAGTTAATTTATGTAGAAAAAGGTCAACATCATCGAATTTATCCATTGTGTAGACTAATATTGCAGATTACTTGATCATTTCCACCAATAGATGTCACTGGCGAGAACACGTGCAAGCACCTAATATATTTATAAGAAAAGGAAGGAATTTGTTTTAAGTGATCTGATTAAAACAATCTACTTGATGCACTTATGTTTTAAACTGGCAGAAGGACGAACGAACGGACATAACTAAATCGACTCGCCTGTTTTCTATGAAATGTCGGATTTTTCGATATATGTTTCTGTGCTTAAAAACCTGCATAAATTTCCTGCAATAGCTGTCAAAATCATTAAAAGAATTTTACCCGACAAATTTAAAACTAAACATGAACTACGTCATGATAAATAAATAATAAAGTCATACGATACTTTTGAAATAAACTCTTAACAATGATTGAAACTTTTGCAATTATCAGTTTTTAATAGCGGTTAACGGTGTAAACGCACCTAAGTTAATCTAGTATTGATTAATTATAGATAATGAATCCGGCATTGACTAAAATGTCTGTCAAAAAGAATTATTACTAATTCTGCTTCCTTTCCTTTCTTTTTCTTTCTCCTCTCTCTCTCTTTGTCTTTGTCGTTTCATTTGATTACTCAGTTTCTTAAATATGTTAAAACAACAAGTAACTATTTGTGCTTTTGGTTCAACTAATGCTAGTTTTATAATAAATGTATTTTTAATTTTTCCTTAGCAATGTTAAAAACACTAACGCCTTATTTAACTATATCTACATGAAAGAAGACTAAATATCGCGAATCAAAATCGAAATTTTAAAAATGGAAATTACTTTGCGAACGTGAGTCACTCTAAGAAATATTTAACCAAAGTTATGGAGGAATGTCTCCTATTCGTGTAACCAGGTGCTGGCCAGGGAAACGAGAGGAAGGAGAAAGAAATAGGGAAGTGATGGCCGCAGCCTGGAGGATATGTGCCGAATCGATAATTGTTTCGGCTTTACCGACTGAATACTCACTGCAACTACGACGAAGGAAAACTCTACTGCGCTAGAGATTTGAGCCGCGAACACCATAATCGCGGCTTCTACCCACTCGGTTACTCAAACCTTTTGTCTTTTTTGTAATGTTTTTATTGAACAATCCATCAATTGTTGATATAAAAAGATTTAACTTTCTGAACGTAATTTGTACGGCAGTGTACGAGTCTTGAGATCGAAACACAGCTTAACTACAACAATTCTCGTATTTTTCGTTACAATGTCATATAAAATCTTTAAAATAACACTCAAAACAGAAATACCGAGTGGGTGAGTTTTCGACAAGTCAACTTTACTCTAGTCTTATGGCACCCGTCAATTTGACTAATTTTTGATTTTAAAAATTCAGCATACAAAGCTCGATGTCTTATGATGTTATATATATATATATATTTTTTTTTTTTTTATGATTAATCACTCAAGAGACGTGATGAAAGGGAAAGAAAGAAAGAAAAACTCCGTTAAGTTCACGGGTAACTTTTGTGAATCGGCATAGTCGCAAAAATGAACACACGAAGCTAAAATGTAGCGCAAACAATCCTTGTCTGCTTAAAAGTACGAGGTCCAAAATTGCTTTCGATGTACTCCTAGACACTCTTCTAAAGCAGAAAAAATTAAAAGGATCTGTGAAAACGCCGATAATTTTTTCATACTTTCCTGGGCTTATTCCCGAAAAACTACTTCCCAAATGCGCCAATATCACCTTTTTGCGCCAACACGTTCGTTGCAAAGAGTGCCCCAATCAGTTTACTAATACATCCATAATTAGCGACAAAATTTGAATTCCAATTTATTTCAAATTTATTCTAACGCACATTGGATCGGATTTTATCGTTAATTGTACACGTCGCAGTATGACGACTGGAACCACCAAAATGATCCTTATGATCTTCTGGCTCAAAGACTTCATGTATATCTTCATGTAATCGAAAATTATAGATGAAAATATTGAAAAATTGTCTGTGTTTTCTAAAGTTGTTTTAGTTTAGGTGAGTCTGTGAACAGATCATTGACATTTTTTAACTTTGTATTCTTAATTGACCAAGGAACGTTTGCTTCAGAGTCCATTAAGTAAAATTTCACTCAAAGCACGTTTTAAGTTTACAAAGAAAATTGATTACTTTGAAGAAGAGATTCGATATGAATAAACGCCAAAAAGGGAAAGATCCTGTACATCAAATTTTGAAGAAGGCTTTTCTCCACATAGCAAAGATATCGAAAGAATTCGTATATTTCGACAATGATGTCATTATCAGCATTACTATAAATAACGGTATGAAGAGGCAGGCTCATCACATACTCGGTTGAAGATCACATAACTTTAAATGACAGAACATTCGCGACAACACACAGCAAAACCAACTCAATGAGCCATCTGAATCGTTGTGCCATACAAAAAAGTAAAACGAATCCAATTAAAAACTATGGCTATGGCTTTTCAATAAGCGACACCAGGCGGCATTGACATTTCTTTATCATTTTTTTTTTTTTTAACTACAAAGATTATATATTCTATACTCACTGTACGTTAAAATCAACCTTTGTTTAAATTCGTTTTCATTCATTTTAATAGTCAATTATAATTAATTGTTATCGATTATCGCATTTATCGATAAAACAGGGCTGTTTTACTGTCAGGCAAAAAATACCGTGAAATTCTTCCTTTGGAAGGTTTGGCAGCACCCTTATATAAAGTTTTCTCGGAGAGCAAAAAAACAAAACGTGTTTATGTTATCAAACAGCTGTTGCTTATCGAAGCAAGTAAACAAATTTTTTTTTTAAATTGTAGAATTAAGCAAAAAAAGTACACACGTTTTTAAAAGTTTGAAGACAAAAAATTAATAATCAAAAATTATGGAAAGTTTAACTGAACTTGTGCAATTTATGCAACCTTCGCAGCGCTTGGATTTAAAAAAAATTGCCTTAACACATGTCTTAGGTAAAAATAAGCAAAAAATAAAAATTTTTTTTTTGGGTTGTTGCCTGTCGATGTTTCCATACGAATTTTAAATCAATTGATTTATGGTAGGTGTTTGGAGTGAGGCTTCCCGGCAACGGTGAAGACACCTCGAAGATTGAAAAGTTTTTCCAAATGGTTCTCTTTTATAATAAAACGAGATATCTAACTGACAGGAAGCAAGTGTTCACTTTTTATTTATATGCCACTGGACATATAAGCCACAAATCTATTGGCTTAGTCCATCTCCACTCAACAAACCCAAAAAAAACAAATATTTATATTCCACTTAGTTTTACAACACGTTTTATTAATAAAAGTATTTGTACATATATATTGATAGGGATTCGTCGCTTATCGTAGGATTTGTTAACAAAAGACCCAGACAAACTTAAATATAATCGAGCTGTCATTTCAGCTCAAGGGATTGAAAATCGATGAAATCTCACAAGTAGATTAAAAAATCCTTAAAACTTAATGTGCCATCTCAGGTGTTGAAATGTAGTCGCAGATGAAAATAAATTATGTCATAATTTTCTTTAAAGATTGTTGTTTTCGAAGATTATCTCTTTTCTGGTAGCACCTTTGAAGACAGGTGACGAACAATAACACGAAAGTATTCAATATGCAAAACATCCACTTTCCATCGAATCTACTCTTGTAATTAATTGGAAAGCCAACTATATTCTTAATCAACTAATGCATTAGCATTCATTTTATGGCACGTTCTCTTACTTACTGGCAGTTGTATGCCAATCCTAAAATACCTTCTTCTATCCTAAGATACGTAATGTAATTAACTATAACGTGAGTCTTTAAGTTGTGAGACATCATTTTTCCTTCGACTTAAGTTCCACTTATGATTCCATCTCCGAGATAATTCTTTTCCTTGTAGGTTTGACTGGTACGGAAGAAGGAAAATGTGCTATCTTTAGCGTAGACGACCTACTAACAGCTTTATTTCATTTAACTGCCGATGAATCCTTAGCTTTAGCAAAAGATGCTGTGTTAGCTTTAATCAATTTAACCGCCGATGTATCGGGAGCAACAAAAGTGTATAATACCAGTAGAGAAATTCAGCCGGTAACGATATCTTCTTTATTGCATATTCAATTTGTGAACAATTTCATTTTATTGCAGGCCTACGAATTAATTACGACAGCTATTAGACATATAATCAATGAAAATTCAAACTTAGCCGATCCATGGTCTATGGTTTTGAGTAACTTGACACGTGAGGAATCTATAGCTAATGGAACTTTAGATATTTTAGATGAAAATCCGGCAATAATGATGCAACTGATGGAAGCTTTTGCTAAATTACAATACAATAAAAGCAAAGCCAAATTGGATTACCTGGGGCCAATATTTTGTAATCTGACACAAACTCATCGAGGTCGAGAATTGTTATGTCGCAGTAAATACAATTTATTGGATAAAATTTTACCATTCTCTACGTACGAAGAATCGATAGTAAGACGTGGTGGCGTTATAGGTATTTTAAAAAACATTTGCTTCGATCCCTTATATCACGAAATAATCTTAAGAGAACCTGACGATATATTAAACGTTATACTGTATCCCCTATGTGGTCCTGAAGAATTTACGGATGAAGAAAATGAGTTATTACCGATGGAATTGCAGGTAACTAATGAAAATTTTTTGACCAACTTACCTAAATTAGGCTAAATAATCAAATATTGTAATAATCAAGTACTTGCCGGATACAAAAAAACGTGAAGCAGATCCCGGTTTACGTAAAATGCTCTTAGAATGTTTACTGCAACTATGTGCTACTAGGAAATCACGACAGCATTTACGCTCCAAAGGAGTTTATGAGATATTAAGAGAATATCACATATGGGAGCAGAAAGAAGGAAGGCATAAGGATTGTCTGTTAGCTTGCGAAAACGTTGTCGATATTTTAATCAAGTAAATTTGAATTTCATTGGAAATCAATACTTATATGAAATAATAAATAAAAATAAAAAAAAAATTTTTTTTTTCTATTTTAGGAAAGAAGAAGAAATTTTAGTAGACAACTATAAAGAGATTGAAGTTTGTAACGACATGAAAGAAAAGTTTATTCAAGAAGATGAAGAATATTTGAAGGATCCCTTATAATGAAATTCTTAAATTAAAAATCCATATGCTTTGTTTGTGTATAGAATTAATATTTATTAATTTCAATTGCTTTTTATTTTTGATTTTCACATTTTTTTTGTTTTTTTTTTTTTTCCTAAGCAAATGCTTGATTTGTGATTAAATGCAAACAGTAAATGTATACGAATATATATATATGTATATATATATTTTGAAATTTTTGTATATTTTAGTGACACTCTTAGGCTTATGAAATTTTATTCGAAATTACATAAATTTAGAAAGTTTTCCTGCTTTTTTTTTGCTCCTTAATATTAATTTGAATGTATACAAAAATTTACAATTACGAGTATTTCTCTTGCTTTTCTTCTTTAAATTGATATTTTTCTAATTTTTGGTCGATTCTTTACATTTATTATAGAAAAATTACTTAATATTTAAGTTGATTTATGTATTTAAATAAATTTTTCATAAACGCCACAGCATATTTATTCGATTTTCGAAGTACACAGGACTATACAACCCGGACATAAGATAGATATATGTATGTATGTACGTATACCTACATTTATATTATACAATTAACATAAATATATATATATATATATTATAAAATTAACATGTAGATATATATATATATATATATATATATTTCATCATTGCATATGAATATGCTACATAACGGATCTACTGGAAAATTTTGCTCCTTTTTTCTATGAAACATCATCCTAATTTCTGAAAATGATTCGAAACGGTTTGTTGAATCGATTAAAGATAATCGCCGAAAAGACGGTTTATTGGAAAGGTAGAAATTTTTGAAATCTCCTGAAATTTGTACAAGAGAGACTACTATGAGAGTCCCAAGCGGAAAAAGTCTTAGGTTTGTCCTGGAAGGCCACCCACATTGAATATTCGTACGCATAAAGTTTTGCTGTGCATGTGGTGGAATCAGACCAGGTGAAGTGTATTATAAGCTGGTAAAACCGAATGAAATTATTACTGCAGACGTCTATCGACGTCAGTTGAACAAATTGAACGATATATTTTTGCAAAAGATACCAACAGCAGCGGTTAACAGATGCAAAGTCATCTTCTTACAAGATAACGTACGATGCCACATTGCAAGAGTTTTCAAGGATACACTGTCGCAGCTCGGAGGGTAAATTCTACCGCATCCAGAGTACTCACCACTCACCATGGCATCGCTTACACGCGATTTCGAAATGCTGAAGAAGGGCGAAAATGGGTCAACGAAATTTTTGGAATATGTTGCTTCCCCTTCACATGAATTCATATTTTGAAAATATGTTTCGGTTTTTTTGCCGTTTGCTCCCCTATTAAGTCCGATGAAGTGTATTATTTTTTATGGAATCGGGATAATTAAGTTTCCATATTATTGTACGTGTGGCGGATATCGAACTATTCGACCTAAACCGAATATATTTTCTTCTTTCTTTTACGTTAATTCAGTTACATTTGAAAATATTATTATTATTATTATTTTTTTTTTTTCTGTTTTTTTCAATAAATTTCTATTTATTTTGCTAACATTTGTTGTTAATATTTTTGATTTAATTTTCAAGAGTTATTTATTTCTTTATCTACTTATTCTCGCATTTCTTAATTTATTCAATTGCGTGTTCGAAGCATTGCTTTTTGATTTGATTTATTTGTTTTCTTTATATTAACTTATAAGCTATAGTTTGGGGATGATGTTCTTTAAACGATTTTTCTTCTTCTTTTCTTTTTTGATTTTTTTCATCTTTTTAATAAATTCAGCAAAGCAAGCACTGGTTATATATTGGTTATAAAATAAATTCTTTTCTAAATTGTTTTTTTTTTTTTTACTACATTCTCAAACTTTGTTACAAAATCATTGATAAACTTTATTATTTTTAAAATTTTTAAACTCAACACTAGCTGTAATGGATGTAGGAGCAAAGAGAAAACTAATCTTCTTTCTCGCTTTTCTCAGATGAAGTCTGAAGTCGGCCGGCAAACGTTGTTTGAAGAGAGTGTGTTTATGACAGGTTTGCGGAGGGTGTTGTCAGACATTTTTACAGCATATAACTCTTTTTCTACTCACTTTAAATTTTTTATTCATTTTCTCAAATGCGAAGAAGTGCAAAACGAAAACGGGCAAAGACTTAAAAAAATGAAAATAGACCTCATTCTTTTAAGCCCTCAGCTGGCCCGTTAATAATTTTATGCACTGAATAGCAGTAACGAGCAAAGTGTTGGCAAATTTTTTTACCTTACACGACCTGTGGTACAAGTATGTACAATTAAGTATGTGCGTGTGTATACAATCCATCTTTTCTTATACTTGTCCGTCCGTCTGCTGTGTATCTGCTTTTTCATTCAACCTACGGGAGGCAATTTTTGAGATGCCCTGATAGAAGTCGGTACGCTAGCGTATTTTGTCAAGAAACCGTAGTCTTTAAAAAATGGTTTGGATCCGACCATCTTCTCTTTCACTTTCCCTATAAGGGTATTCAATAGTCGACTATAGTGTTTTATATTTGGTTCTTGTTTCCTGTTCATCCTATTAATCTTAAAACAAAGTGCCCTCTGCCTTTTAGCCGCGTTTGGCGGCTATCAACATACATAGCAGTTGCAAGACAACTGCCTTTCTTTATAGTTGCAAGAGAAAACTCCTCGTTCTTCAGCACTCTCCTTCTTTGTAGTGCCCAGGGATAACGCTTTCCTCATTCAACGGATCAACGAAACAGTGATGAGGAAGAAAGAAGTTATTGCAAGAAGTGAACTGGTGTCCTATCAAATCAAATGGATAGTAAAAAGACAGTTGTCTTTCTCTCGTTCTGATCTAATAGAGATGAGCGAGCGCCTGGTACACTGCTCCTTGTCACTTACATGTCTTACGTCTTAACAGCTTGCTTCGCTCTACGGATAAAACGATAGAAAGTAATGAAGTCAAAGATATCGTAAGATATCTCATAATATAATGATATCATAAATATGATTAACTTTTCACAATTCTCGCCTAGTTCCACTGCATTTTAACCGTTTCGTTTTGCTGTAATGTCTAATATTGACCACAGGGAACCTAATACTACATCAAATAAATCTGCCATAAACTGAATTCCTGAACATACTGATTTCACAATAGGGACTTTTCGTATTTTTAGGCTCCTCCCACTACTGCAATCACTACTACTACCAAATGCAGATCCTTAAGCATCTGCTTTGCTCCTGTAGCGCCCTAGCTACATACTTCTTCTCCTACTTCCCCGCAATTAAACATTGCCTGCTAAACTTTTCCTGGTTCGTAATTAATCACACAATTTTAAACGGATGAGCTAACTTTAACAGCTCGCTTCTCCTACTCTAGTTGCATAGCACCTTGCGACCATGTACGTTTTCCATATATATATATGTCATATAAATCTCATGTAATTTTATCATATATCTCACACAAATCTCATGTAAGTTCATCATACGTCTCATGCAAGTAATAAGAAGAATCTATAGGTAAACGTAGTTATCAAATGCAAGTGAGATAAATGAGTGGTTAAATTTAATCCGACGTTGTGGTCGATCTAGTTTTATATTTTGCGACGTTTATGACCTCTTGGTCCCGTTGTAGAAACAATTTTTAAAGATTTTTTAAATAAGAAGTTACTTATTAGAATAAATTTGAAAAAATGGTTTTTTAAAAAAATGTTATTTCTTTTTAATTTAATTTTTATACCCTACACCACTTGTGATACGAAAGAATGTTAAGTGTGTGCGGATGTATATAACACCCAGAAGTACTGGAAATAGAGGCACCTTTCGTTATATCGATCGATTCAGAATCATTGTCTAAAGCTTTCTCTAAACTTGTCTGTCCATCCGACTGTCTTGTTTTTGTGTTTAACCTATCGATCGAAATTTTTGAGATGTTTTGATATAATTTGGCAATCACCTTCTGAAACGATTTAAGATTGACTGTCCGTCTGTCCTGTCTGTCTAGTTTTTTTGTGTTCAAACTACGAGCCACACCTTTTCATGTATATTGATGAAATCTCGTAAACAGGCATGTGCTGGCCCAACAACGAATACCATTAAAGATGGTATCGAATCGAAGCATTTTTTCGACCACTCCCCTTATAAAGCTTTACTTTCGAAAGTCCTTGTATGAAGAACTGTATGGTGATGTAGAGAAGTTAATGGTAAGCCGTGGCCTACTATTATGTTTTTATATATTTTTGTTATAAGACTAGTGTTGAGCTTATTTAATTTTTGTAAATAAACTAAATTTGCCTCTTTCTTTTTCTAATATTTGCTTTTCCTTTTATTAAATTTAATATATATATTTTTTTATTTTATTTAGGAAACCTTTTCAAGCTCTTCTTTTTAATTATTTAACGTAAAACAGTTGGACTCTAAACCTTACCTATGGTGACATTGTGGGCCTTTTACTCTATGAGAGTATTTTTCTCCTTTTTTTTTTTGTTGTTTTTGGTTTTTCATTTAATTTTTTAGTGGCTCATCTATCGCTGTAGTTATTAAAACTTGGTCCTGTTGCATGAAATGTTTACATTTCCATTTTTATTTTCGTTTTTTAAATGTTTATTTAACAGTGGAAAATATACATGTATGATAATATTTTTTTATTCATATTTCATATATATGTATATTTTTCATTTATTTATTATTATGTATGCCCAAATGTGTGAGGATTTCATTTAATTTTTTTCTTTTTTTTCCTTATACGTTTACTTTCCATTTACATAACAATGCGGTTGTGTTTGCTAAAATGGAAGGATTATCAATTTTGAATAAAAAATAAAGCCATGAATATGTTATAAAAAACGCAAAGACATTAACATAAACTGCGGTGTGGATTCTCAATTTGTATAGTTATGCCTGTTAATAGACTCCGTATAATAAGTACGTAATTAAAACAAAAGCAAAACTGAGGATTGCAGCAAAATTAGCAACAATTGCTGGCTCATCATGGAAGTGATCCCTCCGAGGCTGCGTAGTGCTTAGGTAAAACATCTCCCCAATCAAATTTTAATCTGTTATTAAGTATGAGGCGATCTACGTGATATAACATTCCACACCCATTTCAATAATATTTTCATAAAGTTTACGAGAAAGAAGGTTATCCATTTTTTAGAAATTAATGGTGCCAAGAAGTACGCAAAATTCTACCCTTAAATCTTTTTTCAAGCAAAACGTACATCGAAGTCTTTTTTTACGCGGTAGGTGCGCTCTTTAGAAAACCG